TTTTTTGACCTCGTTTGAGGTTTTGGATTACGTTCTTGATGCTCTCTGGGTTGTTCTCTGTGTGTATCAGTGCATCCTGTAAGAGTCTCTGATTGGACTCCAGTGAGATGCCATGAAGAAATCGAAGGAAAAGATCCAGGTGTCCATTTTTACTCTTCAAAGCTTTATTCATTGCTCCCTTCAGAAACGTATTCAGAGGAACATCCTCACACTGAGTTCTGGACTTTCCTGTCAGGAACATTTTCAGAACCTCACTGTTCTTGTGTAAATAGCAGTAAAACACATACAGTGCTGCAAAAAACTCCTGAAAGCTCAGATGTACAAAACTGTAAACCTTCCTGTGATAAATCACAGATTCCTCTCTAAAGATCTCAGTGCAAATCCCAGAATACACCGAGGCGTCAGTGACGTCTATGCCGCTCTCTCTCAGGTCCTCCTCATAAAACATCACATTGCCCTTCATCAGCTGATTGAAAGCCAGTTCAGCAAGTTTCACAATCACTTCTCTGTTGGACTGCAGGAGTTTCTCTGGATCTCTCTCTTCATACTTCTGGTTCTTCATATTTGTTTGAATGAGCAGGAAGTAGATGTACATTTCAGTCAGAGTTTGAGGGATTTCTGCACTGAGATCTTGTTTCAGGAGGTTTTGAAGCACAGTGGATGAGATCCAGCAGAAGACGGGGATGTGGCACATGATGTGGAGGCTTCTTGCTCTTCTGATGTGTGAGATGATTCTGCTGGCTTGATGCTCGTCACTGATTCTCTTCCTGAAATATTCCTCCTTCTGAGGGTCATTGAATCCCTGAATTTCTGTCACACGGTTGATGTAGTTAGAGGGGATCTGATTGGCTGCTGCTGGTCTGGTGGTGATCCAGATGAGAGCAGAGGGAAGCAGATCTCCTCTCATGAGGTTTGACATCAACAGACCCACTGATGAAATCTGAGTCACATCAGAAACTTTCTGACTGTCTGAAAACATCAGTGAAATTCTGCTTTCATCCAGACCATCAAAGATGAACACAGCTTTACATTCATCATAAATCTTTGAGTCCAGATCTTGAAGTTCAGGATAAAAGTCAAGCAGAAGTCTGTGAAGACTGTACTGATGATCTTTAATCAAGTTCAGCTCTCGAAATGTAAGCACAAACATGAAATCTACATCCTGATTGGCTTTTCCCTCGGCCCAGTCCAGAATGAACTTCTGCACAGAGACGGTTTTTCCAATTCCAGCGATGCCTTTAGTAAGAACCGTCTTTATTTTGTCTTTCTTCTCTCTTCTGTTCTCCTCATATCCTGGTTCAGGTAAAGGATTAAAGATGTCATTGCAGTTGATTGGAGTGTCTTGGAGTGTCCTGTAACTTTTCTCCATCTGCAGCACCTCATGTTCTTCATTCACTCCTTCACTCTCTCCTTCTATGATGTACAGCTGTGTGTAAATCCTGTTCAGGAGAGTTTGATTCTCTTGTAGTTTGACTCCCTCAAATAAGCTCTCATACTTGTTCTTCATGCTGGTCTTGTGCTGGTCTTTGACTCTCTGCAGATCAACATGCACTGGTTGGTGAGAATGGAGCTGCAGGTCTGTTTCTGTGTCATGATGACTGAAGTGGTTCTGAATGTAGGAGGATGTGCAGGTCTGTGAGGACACATTTCTAATCTGGTCAGCTCTCCAACCACTGAAAACACACCAAAACAAACAACCTGTATATTTTCTCGGCCCAGTCCAGAATGAACTTCTGCACAGAGACGGTTTTTCCAATTCCAGCGATGCCTTTAGTAAGAGCAGTCTTTATTTTGTCTTTCTTCTCTCTTCTGTACAAACAACCTGTATATTTTAAGGATTCCGTCAATGTGACATTAAATCATCTAACTCATGTGACAAAAATAATTTCTGTGTAAACAGAGAAATGTCAGAAAGAAGCACAGAAGCATAGAACACTAGAGGCGTAACAGAGTGGAAGCAGCACAGAAGCTGCATGTATGCAGAGCAGAATTGTGCTTTCTCACAACATAGTTTCCAACTTATAAAATGTGGTTGGAAAAACTTAAAAGTTAAAAGTATAAAAAGTAAGAAACTCACTTTACTTTTCCAGTACCAAAGTTCATGTTCACTCAGATTTTTGAGTTATCTTTTTACATCGTCTCAGTTAGGTTGTATTTGTTTAGACTATTAAGTATTTTCAGCTTGGCAAATTTAGTTGTTTGAAAGTTTAGTTGGAATATCTTTATGAAAGTAAGGTGAACTTACTTAAAATAACCCAAATTAGGTTAAATGAACATGAGCTTTGGTATTGAAAACTTAGTTCAACCAAATAAATATATGTTTTATTTCAATTGCTTTTTTATTTCAATTGTAAATAAATATATATATATATATATATTTTTTTTTCAAATGTTTCCTGAGATATTTGGGTTTCTTATGCCCGTTTCACACTGGATGTGTAAGCAGAGTGGAAGCAGCACAGAAGCTGCATGTATGCAGAGCAGAATTGTGCTTTCTCACAACATAGTTTCCAACTTATAAAATGTGGTTGGAAAAACTTAAAAGTTAAAAGTATAAAAAGTAAGAAACTCACTTTACTTTTCCAGTACCAAAGTTCATGTTCACTCAGATTTTTGAGTTATCTTTTTACATGGTCTCAGTTAGGTTGTATTTGTTTAGACTATTAAGTATTTTCAGCTTGGCAAAGTTAGTTATTTGAAAGTTTAGTTGGAATATCTAAGGTGAACTTACTTAAAATAACCCAAATTAGGTTAAATGAACATGAACATGAGTTTTGGTATTGAAAACTTAGTTCAGCCAAATAAATATGTGTTTTATTTCAATTGCTCTTTTATTTCAATTGTAAATAAATATATATATATATTTTTTTTTTTTTCAAATGTTTCAGTCAAGTTTCGGTTGACAACATTTTTCATTCCCATTTAAATTAATTTCTACTGCAAATAATAATTGATCTGATGTCAGCCATTGCAAATCAAATCAATTACATTTCTAAAGATCAAAGCAGATGATTAAAAACTCCAAAAACAGCATTAATTGAGTCAGTGGAAATAGATAACTCAAAAAGTTCAGTTGAGTAAACAAAAACACTTTTTACAGTGAACTTTGGTACTGAAAACTTATAAAGTTATTCCATCTAAACTTTACAAAGTTCGAATAATTTTAAATTTGTCAAGCTGAAAATACTCAATATTCTGATGAGAACACCACTTAATACTCGAAGTGAAAATCCAGTAAAGCACCATCAGATCACGGAAACCACATATGGAGGTGGTCAAAACACATGTGACCACATCACATGTAAACAATATCCATCCTGAATGTGTCCCTGACAGCAGTAAAGCACCACCTATTCAGCACCAACTCATTTAACATCCTGAATTATAATCAAAATCACAGATGCTTTCCATAATCTTTTCATTCGCCTCATTTTCCGTTCACTCATAAGATGACATTATCAGCCTCATGATCATACTCACACAGGGTGAAAGGGCACTGCACTATTACTGAACATGTGTGGGTTGCTCTTCAAGGACACATAGTTGGATACTGGAGATGCTGCTCTCTTTCTCTTCCTGCTGATGAGACTGAGAAAAAGAAATTTTTTAGACTGTTTCTCTGAAGATTATCTATCTGCTCCAGTAAATTAACATTGATCAACACTGCTTTTAGAGCAGTATTTGAATCATATATAGCTACAGAGAGAAAAAATGTTTTATTAATTGATTGCTTTAACAGGATACAATATTTAATCAATTACAAGTTAACTGTAGAAAAAAACTAATATATATATATATATATATAAACTAAACTTCTTTAGCCTTATTATGGTCCCATTTTGTGTTGAATGGTATAGCAGCTTGTAGCAGGCACCCAAGATGGTAATGCCACACTTTTTACTAAATGATAGTATGGTGCACAAAGTAACTATTCTTACTTGTGATACAAGAGCTGAAGTCAGCCGCAGATGAGAGGCAGATATTAAAACATGGGTGGTATTGCGATTAAGTTGTATTGAGATACTTCAGCTGGTAATAGTACCTTAAAAAATGAAGCTATCATGACCACAAGAGTCCCTTTAACCTGCTATTATACCTTAAATTCTCTGTGACTGAGCATCTATCAGGACTCCTGAACTCCATAATTCAATCTCAGTGTAGCAAGCTTATGAGATGTCCTTTTTTATTAGGTCCAACAGCCTGTAGTTCAGAATCATTCTGACCCCTCAGTGAAAATAATTTAAGTGGGAAAGTTTATGAATTAAATGTATATGTTTAGAGCATAAGGGATTCAATTAATGCTGTTTTATGTGGTTCAAGGGATTCTGAACTTAGTGGCCAGAAACACTTTATTTTGATAGTCCAATTTAGACATTTTACTTTACAAAGTAACTTTACAACTACATGTCAACATTTTCTACTAACCCTAACCCATGTTTGTGGGGCTTTTCAAACAGCAACATTTTGATACAACTTCTACGGTTACTAAAGTCACCTCGCTCTGACCTTTAAATCACATTACTGGGAAGATAGTTAAGAACATATGTGCGTGGATTAAAAATTTTTATATACCTTAATATTTCTCTTTTATTTTTCTTTACAATGTGATTCACTAATGTCCGCATTTCAGAGAAAGATTCTTTCATGAATGATTCATCATGTTATAATTTCACATCCGCTGCAGATAGTGAATTATACTCACACAGGGTCAGAGGTCACAGCAGGCCCATCACTGAGATCAGGAGGAATAATCATTGAGTTGTTACTCTTCATAGACACAGCTGAATCCTGGAGATGCTGCTCTCTGAGAGTAAACATCACTGAGATCAGGAGGAATAATCATTGAGATGTTACTCTTCATAGACACATAGCTGAATCCTGGAGATGCTGCTCTTTGAGCGTCAACAGGAGCCTCCTGTTCTCTCTCCTCAGACACACTCATTTCACAGGCAGAGTTCATCTTTTCTTCCTCATTGATGTGAAACATGATTTTAGGTCTGTATGTGGAAACAGAGAACATAATGAATTTTGACACGCTGAAGTAAATAAAAAAAATAAATTAGATTTTACCCAATCTGTAAATACAACATTTAAAGCAGTACTATGTAACTTTTGGCGGTCTAGCGGATAATAAACAGAACTGCACACATCCCGCGGAAGAACATTCCAACCGGAGCTACTTCTCTAATGCCAAGTTCACACTGCACGATTTTCAAACTTGTTTTCACACTGCGTGACTATCTGGGGTAGCAGTCAGTAGTCGCTGCTGTGTTCACGTTGCACGATGGATCGGCGACAGGGGGTTTCACACTGCATGACTTCACAATAGGAAGAATCGCCGACAGCTCTGTCTGGTCCGCAAACTACGTTTCACAACAAAACACGCAAGAAGTGATAAGGAAATAACGCAAGAACCTGCGTCCGTCAGACCGGAGTTCTCGCAAGCAAGACTGTAATTATTAAAAATATATATATATATAGCCCGCAAATTGTCTGTGAGCTGATTTCCAGCTACAAGGAGAAAAAGAAAAACAGATTATGCAGGAGGGAGATGCAGGGAACAGGGATTGGGTGTTCTGCAAAGAGAGTTGGAGGTAAATAATTTTGCAGTAACTGTTATGCTGATGTTGTGGCTGGTCAAGCAAATGTTTGTGCTTGATTCTGTATGATATAATTGTTCATATATCTATTAAAATACTGATATTCTGGTCTATAACACCTCCCCGAACTTCCCTCTGCCCTGTATCTTGGTCTCTCATTGGCTGTAGGTCATCGCCGATGTGTTTTTCAGTCAGAACTCATTGCACACAGCGTGATTGTGAATCGCCGACAGCTCCAGATATTATAGCATGCCAAATATTTTGCGGGCGTCGGCGACGTGTCAGTGATTCCCTCAGATCGCGTCTTTGATAATTCACACTGCGTGATTGTCACTCGCGTGAACGAGCACCGATTTGCCTCCGATGTCGGCATTTGTCTGTGATTTCGCAAAACCTGTCGGCGAGTGAAAAATCGGGCTAAAATCGTGCAGTGTGAACTCGGCATAAGGGTGCATATTAGTACCTTAAGGCAGGGGTTTTCAAACTTTTTGATGTGAAGGATCCTCTGATATGATGATCCTCCTGCAAAGGCCGCCTATCCTAAAATATAAAGGCAGTCAAATATTTTAAGACACATTAATACTGAGAAAAAAAAAATAGTGTGACATTATATTACCAAAATATTATCTGTACAGTTTGATGTATAAACATCTTTATAAATATATTTAAGCATTTTATACAAACTTTTTTCCCCTCAAAAACTTTGTAAAATTTGTAAAATTTTACAACTGTAAGTATACAAAAACTATGGGGGTAAATAGAAAAGAAAACAAGTACGCTTTTTTTTTCTTTTACATTTATCCTCATGCAGCTCATAGTTTAATAAAAACCCTTTAGTCTTGTGCATTTCTCCTGAGGTGTCTCTGTGCGTGCGAATTGATGCTTGAAGAAAGAAAGGCAAATATTCATTGGAACAGTTTATCTTCTGTGATGGATTAGATAGATGAGAGTAAATATTTACACCGTGTCATTACATGCACGCCAAGAAATATCCATCCTGAAACAATCTCACACTCTCCTCAAGCTTGGCAGGTTTTACTGTGTTTCAATTGAAGGTATTTTATGGAGGATTTTTTTTTAACTATCAAGATGAAAATTCCAAGAAAAGTCACAATATTTCTACCTCTAATCACACTGTGTATTTGCATTGATGTAATTCTACTGAAATGTACTCGAGTTAGTAAACTGGCCATGATATAAATATATGATATGATTATTGATTATTGATTTTCTTTCAGCTTGAAACAACATCAGCAATGAAGAACTGGAAGTACTGCATCTGAAAGAGGAGAATCAGAGCGTTTCAGGAACTTACAGAACTGCACAAACTAATTGTGAACTCATTAGAAAAGACGTGTTGTTTGGCCACAGGAATCGTTCACCTACACTATCTGAGGTTCCTCAAATCTCAAGTGTTTCATGTTTTTATTCGCAATCAAAAGCTTAAAAATCGATCTGCTTTGGGAATATCGTCCATCCTTCCACGAGCGTAAAGCAAAAGGATGTCTATGATCAATCCAGTGATATTCATCATGTAACATGAGCACACCAGCCTGAACAGACATGCAACGGTCCTGCAACTTTTATTTTTGCCTTTCAAACTTTTATATGCAGTGGCCTATCATTTTCTATGCTCTTCAAAAGAGACATTGCTGCTTTGGTTGTTGGCTTTGGCATGCTGGTGACAGAAGGAGATCATCAACCTTTTTCCAGTGACTTTGATGAGTACGTGTCTCACTTGTGTGTGAATGCTGCCAATTAGGAATCAATTCAACTGCCTTTGTGTGAGATCTCTCTCAGCTGTGGTCAAAAACAATATTTCAGCACTGTTACCACAGACTAAACGCACATCCTGTTTATTCACACCACAGTCAGTGTCGCATAGGGCAGAACATTCCTATAGAGCTGTGATGCTGCTTAAATACTGATGTCAAATGGAATATGCCATCAAAAGGAGTCCAGGCACAATGGAGTTGGCATTTTTCACCCTGACTCAATCATGGATGATTCACATGGACATAAATATGTGAACCAGTCTGAGCTTTATCTAAAACTATGCCAAAATGACTGCCTGTAAAACCAGAGCTCAGTGCCTGCTGTTTCAAGTATGAATGCTCTTTTTTTCCTTTTTTTTTTTTTTTGATGAGGCATAAAAATACGATTGTGGTGTTTTTCTTGTTATCTTAAAATATATGGTAGCTACTAAACTAAAACAGGCCTAAGGCCTCATTTATAAAGACATTTCCTAAATGTTCCTACAATTCATATAAAAGTTCCATCCTACTTTATTTTATTTCCTTCAGAAAGCCAACAAATATCCTTAGATTCATTCATTGACTACATTAACGTGCACATCGTAGTCTGGTTAAAAAAATATTTTCACAAAAATGTGTACTTGACATTAAAACGTCTTATCTTATTCTGTGGGTTTTTGATTTTTACATTTTTTCTGAAAAGAAAAATGTCGAATTCATATCAGAATATTCAATATGTAAACGTTGTCACTCATTTATTCATTTATTCAGGAGTAGCTAATTTGCATCACCTAAAGTCATCAGAAAATTCAGCGCAAAAAAAGGGGGCATAGACATACTGATCAGAAGGCGAACATTTTCACAGCAGTTTCGGTCTTTATAAATTCCAGTTTGTTCGTCATGTAGGATCAAATCCATGGGATTTAGCATCAAATCATGTGTGCATTTTATAAATGAGGCCTTGGTCAGAATAGTGTGACATTTATGCAAATCAGAGTATTACGGTAGCGACCAAGCCAGATGTTTTAACATGGTATGGTTGATGCAAAAAAAAAAAAAAACTTTTTGTAAATAAT